AAAAAAAAAAAACTGGAGGTTTTCCGTCCGGCCAAAATTAATATTTACTGAGGCAAACGTCAAATAAAAAAGAAGGTAAAACCAAAAGCTTTTTCGCCCCATATGAGCATTGCCAGCAAAGAGTTTTGCCAACTGGTATAATGCACCGGAAGAAAGAAAAGGGGGTTGTCAAGAAAAGAAAAAATGCAACGGCGAGAATAGGCAACCAAGGTCGGGAGGGCGATTAATGATGTGATGTGGAGCGTTGCAGAACACATTCTTTTTGTTACGCCACCCCACGGCCTGACGCAGCGGGTTGGGGACCTACGATCTGCGCTTGAGCTAGCCGAGGAGCTGCGTCTGGCAAGATGACTCTGGGGCATGGCACCTGTGGTAAGCAGGAGATAACAGTTTACAAGTTCCTTGCATAACATTATGCTATTGATACTGTAAATCTTAAGTTTACTTCGTAGTTTAGTTTTTATCAAAGAAAGCGTCGAAAGTTTGCGTTCTGCAGCCGCAGAGCTATGTAGTAATGAAATTATATTAAAAACAAAATTGGCGAGATGCATGACGCTATTTTCATTCATTCTATTTTTAATAGAATAATCTTTTTCTTAAAATATATCAATATCCAGATCGCTGGCTATTATATCAGGATCGCAATCTATGAGATGGGGAAACTTTAACAAAAGAGGTAAAATTGGTAAATCTTCATTAGAAACTACCTTAATGGTGTTATTATTTGGTCCAAAAACATCTCAGCTTTCGTTCCAACACAAATTTTAGATATTTTAATATGATTATTTTCATTTTTAAAATTAATATTAATATTGTTACTGATCGCATCTTTTTTAATAAAGTTACTCAAAATTAAGAGAATGTGGTTTGATAGTTGCACATAAGTATGGCAAACGAGAGCTTTCAGCTTGGAACTCTTCGTTAAGATTGTTAATTATGGGCAAAATATCCGATAGAAATAGAAAATAGCATTGGTTTCGCAACACATTCCTTCTGCCAGGTCTGCAGATCGCACACAGTTTACTTCATAAAAGCAGGAAATAAAATAAAGTTTTAAGCTATCCCATAACTCAACTATTCTTAACACAACGCTTTCTAGTGAAAGCCATCGTGTTTGAGACATGCCCAAGATTTTGTGGGGTTTTACCGAACTGTAGTCCTGAAATTCCTTCAGTTCATGTATCCTCTTTGGATTGTGGGAAAAGAAACTGTATATGTTGCGGCACAGTGTCTCAATGCTTTCGGCAATTTTTTACAAGCGTAGTTTGAGCAAAGGTGAAATGTGTACTTTATATAAAATATTTATTTATATAAAATAAATCGGTTTCTGCACTCAATAATGTTTTCAGCTCGCCCAAGTCTCCAGCCATAACATTGGCTCTATCAGTGGCCAAACCAATTAGGTTTCTTATTTTTAAAGGCAGGATGGGCAAATGTTTGAAAGGTGCAATTGGCAAATATTTATATGCAAAATTATGTTTGAAATATATATTTTTATAATTAAGAATTTAAAAACTTAATTCAACTATCCGTCCAAAATCTTACTTTGCCTACCAACCTACCAAATGAAAAAGGAGCGACCAAATTTGGTCGGAATACACCAATAGTGGCAAACTGATCCTGATTAAGATCTGGTTCAATTTATGATCCGTTCTTTTTGGTTTGTGTCCCTGATAATATGGCAGTACGGTTTGGTAGCACTGACAAATGAATGTATACACAAACATATATTCTGTCATTGATTCTTTTAACTTGTTTAAAATAAATTTCCTTTACGCAAAATATGTCTTTAAGTGAATATTATTTCGTTTACTTATTCTTTAGAACGTTCCTGATGATATGTTAACGTATATTTCAAACGCATTCTGTTTATTCTGGCTGTGAAGTGGGATTATCCGGAATGTATAAAGGAACGCAGCCATCCCTGCAAAAATCGTTGGACCACCCTGCAAAAATCGTTGGTCCATGTAGTCTATTTGTGGTATATTGGAGTACTTACAAAATTGTTCCTCTGTCATGCTGTAGCGGACAAACTCGTGTCTCTGCGCCAGCTTATTGTTTGTTAAGCACATTTGCATGTCTGGCTGTAGCTGAACGTGTAGAGATGCTCGCTGTTAGTTCTTAGCTCCCAGTATGTTCGGGTTCGAATGCCGTCAGAGGCAACATGTAATTTTTAATTTTTGTCTTGGTTTTTATTAATTTCGAAAAAGCATTTGAGAAGTGAAGAACAAAAGCGTGTACAAACGAAAAAATATAACAACAATCCCATTGTTAATATGTTGGAGTAGTTTTGTGCTACTCTGATGTAATGCAGGGATGGAGTATACGGTCCTGCCCTAGGACATCGCAATGTTAATTGGATGTTTTTTATATGAATTGTGGTTAATTTTGGAGTACTCCTTGGTCCTTTGGGAGTACTCTTTACACGCATGCATGGAGTAGTCGCGATTTTTGCAGGGTATCTGCCAAAAAGGTGTTTATGGAAACTGTTCTTTTTTATCATGGAAAATCCCATTCGCCCTTTTTAGTCATAAAATTCCGAAAAAGGGGCGAAATCAGTAAACTGGCAACACTGGTTCATAACATTCATGTACAGTGCTGCCAAGTCTTCGGCATGAGAAAACGTCCCTCTTGGTCTGGGAAAACGTCATTTCCTACCCAAAAACGTCTTTTTCAAATGTATGCACACAGAATTGTTCTTATTAAACTTTTATTGTATACAAAGGTACACAAGATATATGTAATATTAAAATATCATTTCGACAGAGCACATTAAAAATTCATTGTAAACTGGTTTGAGATCGTTAATATAAAAAAAATTGTATACATATGTACACTTGTGATCACCTGATTAAATCAATATTTTGATCGATTGTGGTTGTTTTTCTTTTGTTTATTTAATGTTTATTATTTTTCCATAAAAGCCTAGCTCATTATATAACAAACAAAATATAAATCCACATTTCTAACTTTGTGCAAAAATTATAAAAAATCTGCAAATCTGTTTGATAGCCCATTATTTTCCAGGGTAATAATGTCCAAGTTTTAAATTGCTAAAGAATCGCGTTGATTTTTAATATTTTTTTTTTCTCTTGTAGACATTTGGTTAGGTGGTCGGTTGTTGAAAATGCTAAATTCCGTTCTGCTAAGAAGTAACATAGCAATATTTCAGCCTTTTTTGCGGTCATGGCATTTTCAATGAAGTCTTAAAAGAGCCGCCTACTTTTTTCAGACTTTTTATGCTGCTACAGCTTTCTGGGTGCTTTTGCGAGCGTGCGTGTTGCAATAGATGAGCTCTTCCTGATTTGGCTTGTAATGTGCAATTGCAAACATTGCAATAAGCCTCGTAACCTCAAGTGTTTACAAAACCAGCCTTTGAGCGGGATCCTTACTCCAAGAATCAAAAAAAATGCGCGTACGCTTGGTTTGCATCGTATCAGTTATAATTACAAGATTTAGTAACAAAGAAAAATTACTGGGAAGTTAAAAAATGTAATTTTTTGCACAAAAAACGTCCGAACGTCAACAACATACAAAAAACGTCCAAATGACGTTAAAAAGATCTACCTGGCAACGCTGTTCATGTATACCAGCGATGCGCAGAGAGATTTTTCTAGAAAGCTTAAAAGAGCTTTGCCCGCGGGCAAGGCAGTGCTCATCAGTGATGTATATATACTATGCCACAACACAACGAACATCAAAAGAGCACATGTTTGCCGCTTTTGTATGTATTAGGCATTTAGCAAGAAACTGTCAGCTGGCCGTGTGGCCTAATGGATAAGGCGTCGGACTTCGGATCCGAAGATTGCAGGTTCGAGTCCTGTCACGGTCGCAAAAATTTAACTTTTGGAATTTTTTTTATATAACACATTATTTTATATTGCAACAATTACCTATTTGAAACAATTGAAGAAATTTTTTAAAATTAGGCATAAAAAAGATATCTAATGAAATAATGATTAATCAAATGCGTTCCAAGTTATGTGTTTTTATCTTGATTGCAATCATGAGTGCCCCATTTTTATTTAAAAATATATACATATATTTCTAAGCATGTAGCATAGATATCGATATTTTTCGTAACAAATTAATATGCTTTATTATTTGTGACATATGTATGTAGTTTCCCGTTAATTTTCAGGAATAGTTTATTAACAAGAGTGCTTAATAATAATAAAACATAAGGAATATCTATAAAAAAAAAAAACTTTTACTCAGAACGAGCTATAAATTGTGTTTTTCGAAATACTGTGAAAATTGGTTGCAAATATGTCACTTTGTGTGTTTATTGATGAGAAATCATCGAGTCTTTTGCACACAACTTATCCATTTGCTGATTATAAAATGAATTGAAGTTTATGCGATGCACTAGGTTTATAAAGCGATCCGATGGGTTATCTGATGCCACATCATTGATTTGTTTGAGGAGCCCAATTAATAATCCAGTAAATTCCAGATCAAAACGTTTTACCCGCTCTGAAAAGGTATCGTTCGGTGTTAAAGATGATTCCGACTTGAAAAAGAAAAAAATATTAAATTTCATAAATTAGATTTTGCAACTTATGTAAATCTATCTTTCCATAATTTAACAGGCAAAACAATAACAAATTGGGAAATTTTGGGACTATTTGTTCACATAAAATTCGCAATAAAGCTGAATATTTGGCCAACAAATTAGATATAAAATCGTTATTTACAAAATTGTACAAAACAGTATAAGCAAAATATTAGGAAATGTTTCACCTATAAGTGAATCCAAAAAAAAAAATACATGTACATGTAAGAATTTATGAACATTTTTGTTAATGAACATAAAAAATATTCATATGCGTGTGACGGCTAAGATAAAGTGTGTATTTATTTATACCTGCTTCTGACTCGAAGAATCAACCTCCGAATCAGAATTTTCCTCGTCGTTACTGTCGCAAACCATGGACTTGAGCTCAGCGTCAAGAAATAATCGTTGGGATTTCTTTTCGAAGCATAGGAACAGAAGATTACAAGGAAAAAATATGCACATGTACAAGAAAGAAAATAGTAATTAAGAAAATCAAGGCATATCTCGCAAAATAATGAAATTCATGAGGTCTGTTATGAAAAGTGCAGACAACTTGGAAATTTGTTACCATATTTCGTATAGAAACTTTTCGGAATAACATTTAACAACATGAGTTATACGTAAAGGAAGCATTCGTGACGTACTTACCTGTATGAACTCACAAAATTTCAAGCAAATATTGCACAGCTTGAAAATTGAACGATTTAGCAACGTTGTGTCCGTTAGCATGCAATTCTTTAAGCAGGAGTCCAGAAAGTCCTGATGAAATGAAAGGACTTCATCTACGTTTTCAACCTAGATTTAAAATGGGTATGTTTAAAAATAAACAAATTACCTCTTTTTGCATGTATGGGCATGTACTATGCACACCTAGATCTAAAGTGAGCTAACTCAAAATTCAGCGAGGGAAATTTAACTGCTTGTGGATCGTACAGATTCAACGCAATTAATAAACAGGTATATCGTAGTTTTTTAGTTAATTTATATAATCGCAAAGAAAAAAATATTTCCATTAATTGGATGTAAGTCCTATGAATTCATTTATGCAAAAAAAAATCGAAATTTTTTTTCAGTTGATCGCACTTTAGATCTAGGAGTGCGATATGAAAAGTGTCTAATCAAAATACGTTCTTTCGATTTTTGATAGTTTTTTAGTTTCTTTTTTATATTATCTTCGAGAGACGCCGCAGCGTAAAAACCACTTATCATGTTTAAAAAGTTGTATTTGAAAAAATGCAAATATTCTTTACCGGATCAAATCATATTTCCATTGATTGGTCATGAACATGAACAAATTTTCAACATTCTTGAAATGTTGAATAATTGAGCTGTCGTTTGTCGATTTTAAAAGGCCTAAATAAAAACAAGTTTTCTCTAACAAAAGTTTGTTCAAAATTACTATCAATAAATCCGTTGAGCAACAAAAGAAAATTAATTAAGGTGAAACCACTGAATAAAATAATAATATTTCTATATCTTTGGGGAATTTGTATGCTGCTACAACAACAACAACAACAACATTTCTATATTTCTACAAATCAAATAATACTATTTTAAATGAGAATTTATTCAAACTGTGATATTTCCATGACTACGCGACAAAATATGATATTGCAAAATAAAATTATTTTTTCTTGATTTACTTAATTCCTAAACAAATTTGCAAAGGTCATGGTTGCAGTAGATTGTTTAAGTAGTAAACATTCTTTTTTTTATAGTTTTATTAGACACTCTCATACATTACGTATTTATTTGTACCTTATTCATATTCTGTATAAAAATGTGCCAGTTAGGTTCGATAACTTCTATCATCATATAATATTCAAGATTTTGAACAGCATTCATCATACGTTGGCGCAATGTAAATGCTGAACGATAAAGCTCTGCAGCCTGTGGCGAAAACTTTTTGGCTATAGAGTTCTCCTTCCAAATTCTAAAATAATTCAAAAAGAATATTGCGAAAGAAATATTTAATATTAATCTAATTTTAAGTATACCCTTATGATATATTCGGTTTATTCCCTTAAACTCGAAAAAGCCTTGAAACTTTTGCTGAACTAGCAAAATTTATATTTCAAGATTTCCAGCTTTAAGGGAGCATTTACAATGTCTGTTTGGAGATGAGAACGTTTTTTTTTTTAATGTTGCCCTGTGTATAAATTCAACTTGGTGTGAAGTTTCGTGTTCCTAATGACATAAACAAGATATTTTCCTACTTCGAATCCAACTGAATCTTCATTCCAAGCTGATGTGTAAACACTTACGTTTTGAACTGATTCTCTTCAACTTACTTGCATAACTGTCGCTCAACATGTTTGCAATAGAATAACTGCCTAAAGAGCATTTGATATTTGGATATTGCTATGTGGTTCAGCACCAAAGAAACAGGCCATTTCACTTCGTATCTAAACGCAAAACATTCCAACCCATTTAAGTCCAGTCGGTCATGCAACTGCCAATACTCTGAAAGAAATTCCAAAAATAAATAAATAGTTTAGAAGTATCGTTTAACAAGTAGGGACATCACCTGTTATACACAAATTTTGGACTTAATTTAATAAAGACATTAAAGCAGAGATGCTCAACAAACTAACGTTGAACGAAATAAATCATCAATCGTTAACATCGAAACAAAATAAATCAACGAAAAGGTGTTGTTGTATGCCATTGCCAGCTCGCTATTAACACCTAGCACCTAAATGCATGCTATAACTTCAGCATTACGGATGGAATTTCTTTTCGTTAAAAACTAAAATAGAATTAGTTGTTTTTCTAGAGCCAAAATTTGGAATCTCTTATATAAGTTGATTTTTGGAACTTTACGGCCGGTTAAATAAAAAGTTTATCCTCCTAAAAGAAAACTTTGTTTTGCTTTTTATTTAACCGGCCGTAAAGCTCCAAAAATCAACATATATAACACAAGTAATTTTTAGCATAAAAAAACCGACTTAAAAATATATATAATAATAATAATAGATTGGCGCTTACACATATGTTAGTGTTTGGCCGAGCTTCTCCTCCGATTTGTGGTGTGCGCCTTGATGTTGTCACACAAAGCGGAGGGACCTACAGTTTTACGCCGACTCCGAACGGCGATTGTATTTTTATGAGAAGCTGTTTTTCATGGCAGAAATACACTCGGAGGTTTGCCATTGCCTGCCGAGGGACGACCGCTGTTAAGAAAAAACCTTTTTCTATATTTTTTGCGATGTTGCTTTGACCAGGGTTTGAACCCAGGTGCTGATGAGTGAAAGCGTGCACTGCTTACCACTACACCACATATATATATATATATATGTATATAAATTTCATGATCCAATGATCGGATCTAAACCAAATTAGTATGGGACCACCTCTGAGACACTACCTTTCTATTGCAAAAAGAATTATCGAAATCGGTTGACGTGATCCAAAGTTATGCGGTAACATACATAACATGAAAAAAAGTAATATTCCGACGAACTGATAACCTCCTCCTTTTTTGGAAGTCGGTTAAAAATAGAATTATTTTGATAATTACATAAACGATAAAAAACTGAATCGTTTCAACAGAAACGATTACTTTATTTTGGTAAACGCTAAAATTAACGTTACAATGCATCCTTGCATTAAGGCCTATCATTTAATTTGAAATTTAATTAATTATTTTTTTTTTTAATATATGTATGTATGTATAAATACTTCAACACACCTTCTTCATTATTCATGATTTTCGACATTTGTGTGACTAGGTCATATGTTAATAGTTCACAGTGTACATCGTCTTTATATGGATCATGTTTCGCAGATGACAAACGCAATGTGAGTCCCAGCAAGTTTTCCAATGTCATTGGTAACACTTTATCAACATTTTTTGTAAGCTCATCCTCACATGCATCCATAAATTGCGTGATAAAGTCACCTTGGTGTAATAATAAATACCGTTTAACTGACATTAGATGCCCCATCAAGTCATTTTCCTTAAGCAATACTTCTAGGAGATTCTTAGAAGCGAATCTATATGCATTCTGAATAACATTGATGTGATTTTGATTTGTGGGCGAAAACTGCAAATTCATTGATTGCGGTGGAGTGACTTTCTTGCCACACTGACGAATAACATTCAAGTACTTGCCAGTACGGAGTATTATATCCGAAACCTTTTCCAGAAAACATGGTATACGTTCACGACGTATTGTATAACTATAAAAGAATTGTATTAACAAATACACATGTATGTTTAGTGATTATTACATTTTATCATTTACCGTTTTTCCCAATAATCAGCTGAATAATGATCAGGCAACTCTTCGCGACGAATAACCTCATTGTCTTCGACTAAAAATTCTTGTTGTGGATCGCAAATTACTCCCTTTTGGACCCACAATTGCAATATTTCCATGTAAGGAACTGCCGCTAATTGCGTTAATTGAATGACAAATTTTTGTGATTCTTCGTCACCAGTCAGAGCGCTGATTTTATTAAATAGAAGCGTCAAGGCTTGGCCACCACGTAGCTCGTTCTGTTAGCACAAAAACATCAACTTTAACTTTAAACTATCTTCATTAGCTTTCATAAAACAACATTACCACCAAAATGTCCGAAACTGCACCTGCCAAGACTTCCATGGTATTTAGAGTGGGACGCACATAAAACAACATTTTATGGACCGTTAAGTTACCAGCATTTAATTCCGACTCTAACTGTGCTAACAGCAACTATATAAAAGTAAACAATATACATATGTATGCATAATGTATGTATAAAATTATATAGTATTTCATTTAGGAGAATAAAGCATTAGTGAAAACCAATATTTAGCTAAACCAGAAAATCTATTTACATAATAATCATGTATTATACTCCTCAGAGCTTCACTCAAAGCTTGTAGCACTTGCCCGCAATCTGAGAAGCTCGCATTTTGTATGAACTGCTCAACACACGTGTAGTATGATGCTAAAGGTAACATCTCCTGAGCGATATCTCTTAGTGAACTGTGGATCTGCTCGGATATCTTAAATTTAAGACCACCACTCTGCCCACTTTCTTCGGATGTTATGTATGAGCCACGCATACCTGTTAAACAGTATATAAGGTCGTACAGAAGCAACGTTTCTTGGCTGTTGATAGGTATCGCGCTGATATTGCTTTGTTGAAATTGAAGATTATCTACCGTCTGGAAGTCCCAAAGCGCATCATTACGTTGTTTGTTACATGTTGGAAAAAGCGACGAAGTTGGCGAATGTCCTCCTACAATATTCGTTATAGAATTATTTTGCGTTTGGCGTGTATGGCCTCCAGTAGCTGCCTGCACCACTCTCTCCTTGATCTAATAAAAATATTATACATTGAGCCGCATGAGGCAACTTGGTTGTAATAAATGTGTATGTAGATAGACACACCTCTGATACACTGTCTGGAGTGACAGTTTCAAACATTTTCTTACTTAATAATGGGGTTGAAGTAGATATGTCTTTCTTGCGCATTGACTGCATTATGTTTGACTCAGAATAGTGATTCAGAAAATTTAGCAAACAATAAAACGGGTCTTTTCTATAGATGCAAAAGAAAAACGGACCATGTTAACTGAAATAAAAATATACATACATAAATGGGTTCGAAACTTACTTTTCCAACAACTTGGCTACCTCCAATAGATGTTCCTCAGCCTTCGGTTGGTTTTTTGAAATTATTTCTAGAATTTTCAATAATTTGCGATTGGAGCGTTTCTCTTTTGTTGTACGAAATTCCCGCAAGACATCGTCCGCACTAAAAGTCGCACTGCAAAGGATATGGCCTTTTGAATATGCAAAATCATTTCAGAACTATTATGTGCATTTGAAAACCCGCTAATTTGTAAATAACAAAAAAAGCATTAATGCTACTACTGCCAGCAACAAAAATGTATGAAACATCTGCCACAAACAAAGCGCCGTAGTTCCTTACTTTGAATGCTGGATAAGCATTTTCAATGCTGCTCGCATAGGATCTTTAGAAGACTCCACATCCATTGTATGATTTCCTTCAGAGTACAGCTTTCTGTTTAAAATATTTGTTCATTAAAAAACAAATCTGGATAAATATATTTCAGCGTCATCCAAAAACATCCGGGCATTGAATCGAATATGCGGCATAAGGGCCCTGTCACACGATCAGTAATTATCACGATATTTCGATCGTGATCCATATTGAAGGATTGATGGATCGCGCACGAATGCATGAACGAAAGACACAAGCTCACGTAAGAACAAGAGAGTGAAAAAGTCCATGAACCAAAAAGACAAGATCAAGCGGGCTAGCCCGTTAGAATCGCATTTAGGAAAAAAGTTGAAAAGTTGAGTTTGTTTACATTTCTTCGTTGTTTACAATTTGGTGGTGGCTTTTTACTGCAATTTTCTTCATTTTCACTTGTGACAACGTGTGTACACATAAGATAAAGAATAATTTAACACAACGGCATGATTTATAGAAGAATTTGCATAATAAAAATGATTTTTCATGTGTTCAACAATTTCGCGGTTTTCTCCGTTCTCTTCGTTGTGTCTTTCGTTCATGGAAAAAGTCGATTTTTTTAGCGGGTTCTACGCCATCTTGTTTCACTGGAAGACGAGCGAAAAGTAAACAAAGCAAACAAACCAACGAAAACCAAAATTAGCCAAAATTATTGTCAGCCACTTTAAACGCACAATTTAGGTAAAATGATGCAACAAAATGTTTTAAAATGTGTTGTCATGTTGAATTAACTCTTCTTTACTTGAATAAAAGTGTAAAATAGTGGTGCTTGTGATGTAAACAAACGCTCAGCTGACGAACCCGCTTTCGCAAACTTTTTTCTCAAAACCAGTTACAAATACAACGTCGCGTTCTTACGTGATCTTGTATTTTTGTTCATGGCACGAATGCTACATGTTCAATATTTATCGCGTCAGTATTTGCATAATTTTTGTGCTGAATGCTTATTATGACGCAAGAAACTGTTTTTATTTTGTACGTATAATTTACAGATAATGCATTCCACATATATTTTAAAATTTCCAATGTTAATTAAAGTTTGTTTTGAAAGATTTTAAGCCCCGAGAGCGAAGGCACAGCCGATCTTCGCATTATGAGAGTAAAAGATGTACTGACGAAATGTATGGATCGCGTTTTGAAAGTGCTACACGTTCAATATTTATTGACGGTATTGCGATCCACGATCCAGATTTCAAAATTTTTAGAAGTTTTGCGATATGGATCACAATCCATCAATACTGCATCCTACACCGTCAAAAAATATCGCGATACTTGGATCACGTCAATAAATACTGACCGTGTGACAGGGCCCAATTAAAAACAACTAGGGAAAAATCGACACCATCAAGGCATGAACCAAAAAGACAAGATCACGCGGGCAGGAGACTAGCCCGTTAGAATCGCATTAAGGAAAAAAGTTGAACGATTTTGACATTAGCCGTTTATTTCCATTTCTTCGTTGTTTACAATTTGGTGGTGGCTTTTTACTGCAATTTTCTTCATTTTCGCTTGTGACAACGTGTGTACACATAAGATAAAGAATAATTTAACACAACGGCATGATTTTTAGAAGAATTTGCATAATAAAAATGATTTTTCATGCGTTCAACAATTTCGCGGTTTTCTCCGTTCTCTTCGTTGTTTACTTCTTACAGCAAAGATGGCGTCGAGATTTCGGCAGCTAGAAAATAACTTTTTTCGTTCTTTCCGTCCCGCGTGATCTTGTGTCTTTCGTTCATGCCATCAAGGTATTAAGCTCGTCGGCGATTTCAAGCATCCGTTGTTGGTTACCCCAGCCACCGAGGCAATCGGAGATCGTCGTGTCACACGTACTTGTTGTCGGCTCGTGTTGATGGAAAATCAAAAATTTTTGATTTTCCATCAACGCGACCGCTTGACAAGCGGTCTGTTTGATAGTGGCGCAAAGCGTTGACAAGCATTAGTGTGTTAGTTTGTTGTGATATGTAAAATGAGCAAGTTCGCGGAAGATAAAGCTTTTACGTTGCGGTTTATTGAAATTGCAAATGGTGTTGACGCTTTATGCTTGAGTGTCGCCGGGCAAGCTTCAAGCACCCGACATTCAACCCGACACTCACACATGTACTCGTTGCTGGGGTAACCAACAACGGATGCTTGAAATCGCCGACGAGCTTTACTCCAAGAATGATAGAATACAAGATTGCGCCGTCCTGGGCGTGACATTTGTGTACCACAAGTAAACAAAGAATAGAGCAAAAAGAAGAACGAGTTGAAACACCCAAAGCAGTTCACTTTACTGCGAAAAACGTGTTTTAATTTTGCTAAATGCGAAAATATTGCATTTTTCACCTAATCTGTTAGAGAACAGTGAACATTGTAGTGCACTCCATTGCTTTGCAATTGAGGCTGCTTCAGCAAACGTTTTAGTGCACTCCATTGCTTTGCAATTAATGCTGCTGCAGAAAACTGCGGGTCTGATTAGTTAACTAGCTAATGGAGGCTGCGTGGAGCAGAAACAAAATCATTGTGAGGAAATGCTTTTAGTGTAATAATAGAGAAACATTTCGGGAACGGCTTTGCCGTGCACTATGTACACAAAATGCAGCGATTCGTCCCAGCGCTACACTTGCATCTACACTTCTTGCATCTTGACGGTTGCCGCAATTTAACACACAGCACTTCATTGTATTAGTTTTTACGCAGTCTTCAACTCAAAAATTACTCACAAATTGCAAATTAACACGATTTAAACTGATTTTTCACTTATAATTCAAATATCTCTTTCGCTGATTTGTAAAGAAAGGTTTATTTACAAGTTACCACAACTGTCAAAATCGGCAAAACCAAAGTAGCGGTACCACTGACGGCGCCACCTTTGTTCGCTGCACCGTGGCTTTACTCAAATCAGTACTCATGAACGAAAGACACAAGCAGTGTTGCCATTTTAGTCGTTTTCCGGCTAGATTTAGCCGGTTACGATAGCAAACAGCCGGAGAAATTTCGATTTAGCCGGCAGCCGATTTGTTAGCCGTTTCGCAGAAAAAAATTAGCCGTTTTTAGCCGGTTTTGCTATTTGCCTTGTTTTCTTAAATTTCAAATATGTATATATGTTGCTGAGAGCTTATTTAAATTCCAAAAAACCGAATGCCAACTTGAATTAAAGGAACCAACACTGAAGTGACTAAAAATGAAAATAAAAGAGCACAAATTTCTATGTAAAGCAAAACTCTCTGGGAATCCTTCGAGACATCTGCCGGTCATATGACCGGTCATCTAAATGGGAGATCTGCCGTCTTTTGGCATCATATTTTACATCAGGATTCAAGGGATTTCTGAAAAATCTGACCAGTTCTTTGTGTAACTGTGATTTTGCACCCCTCGGTTGATGTTAACTTAAGGTCGTTGTTTTACTGCCTTAAAATTGAAGGGAAATTTTTACTGCGTTTTTTATGTGTATTGGTTTATATTTGAGTGTATTGAGAATCGGTCAGTCTGAAAAGGCCTTGTAGGCAGTGTTGCCGCGAAATTCCTTTTAAAAAAGGGCTAAAAAAAGTCGTTGTGGCTAAAAATGGTAGCTAAAATTGTTTACTTACATATACATATATAAGTATACACGCAAACATTTTTAATAAGTAATGGTATATAAAAACAAATGAACTCTGAAAAAAAAGCTAATATTTTATCCAGCCAAAAACCTTTTTGTATAAAAGGGAAAATATACGACACCAGCTTGCTGGTTCCACCAAGTGATTGTACCATCAGGCTCGAAGCATATAACTTACTACCATGCTGGTATAATATTTATTTCTTTACAAATGAGGTCGAGGAAAGATCGAAATGTTTAGAGCCGAAAGTTCATAATTTTTCTAGCATTTTGTTAAGCATAATTTTTTTTTTTAATTCACAACTGCAATATCGTGAACTTAATCTTCCACAAACACGGCTTTGACTCAGATAGTGCAAGAAATTTCCGCCAAAATACTTTTTACTTAGAAAATTGAGCTAATTTCACCACTCACGCCATCAGCATGCTGGCACAATCACACCACAAGAACATACACGGTCAATCGACTTGATGGGTCATTTAACAAAATTAGCATATTACGGGCCGTAAACTTATCTATTTTAAACTATAGTTAAACTATAGTGAATAGATAAGTTAACAGCCCTAACACTTTTACAGTATGTATGTATAAAATGTATAAAAGCGTAAGGAATATACAATACATATATGAACATATATATATCAGTCTTTCATGGTTTAAAAAATTCATCTTCAAAAAATTTCAATTTGTCAATTTCAAAAAATCATTCAACAAATTAAAAAAAAAAGAAACAAATTAAGCATATACAACTTTTCATGCCAAGTATGAATAAATTCTCTAAAGGGCTAAAAAAAGGGCTAGGGGCAATTTTAAATTTATGTGGCCAAAAAAAGTATGAGGTAGCTAAATCTAGCCACCAAAGGGCTACAACGGCAACACTGCTTGTAGGGAAGACAATAGGTTTGTTCGTCGAAAATCCAGGGAGAATTATCACTCAAAATATCAGATAGGAAGAAAAATGCTCCCAAACTCTCTCTCATGTAGAGAAACCCATGAGAAAAATATAGTAAGGTAGAACCGCTGAGAGTCAATTTTAAATTCTTGACGTTTCCAAACAATTTAATTTTTAAATTTACTCACAAACTCACACACACATTTTCATTTTCAATCTCAAGCAACAACAACAAAGTGTCCACAGTTGCATTTCAAACAAAAGAAATATGTATAGAATTTTTAAAATTCTTTCAGAGGGGCAAAAAAGAGGATCTACGTGTATATATCTTGTCACTCTGACTTTCTTCAACATACGTTTCAATTTCTTTGTCGGGTTTACTATATCGACTCTGGTTGAGATTGCATTCCGATTAAGAATACAGTTTTTTTGCCGAGTACCTTGCAAATCATTGGAATTAACTAAATTAATTAAGTAAACAAGTATTAACTTACATTTTTCATTTTAAAATCGCTCAAGTTTGTAAATTTTTAAATTTAACGAACTTGTTTATTCAAATTATCGTCGACAAAAAAGCCAACCATGTGCCACAATCATATGTTTTTCCTAATTGCAAATTCTTGCTGGCAAAACTTTTTCCGGCTCGAATTTGTAACTTC